ATGGCATTGCTTCCCGAGGCACGTGCTGTGTGATCACAGGCACCAGGCCACAGCAGCTCCCTGGGCCACTATGACGTGCGTCCTCTGGGAACATGAATAAGGTCGCCTCCTTCAGACAATATCCATGTTGGCAAGAGCCCAGGTGCCTCCGAGTAGTCAGTGGCTGGAGGCCTTGGCCAGGGAGTGATGGTGCCTCCCTGACAGGCTCAGGACATAAGCTTTTCGGGGAGGCAGAGAGAGGTGTCAGTGTGGAGACCAGGGGTCCTCACTGGGGCAATCTTGAGAATTTGTACAGCTGTGCCCAGGCAATTACCATTTTACAACTTGTCATTTTAACTCCTAAATTCCTCCTTTACACACAATTACTTTAACATAATTAAAATAATTAGGTTTATTCAAAACAATTTAAATACACTAAAAATAATTATTTAAACATTTAGAAAATCTTTGGGGTGCCATAGGTTATTTTCTCTATAATTTCTAGGGAAATCACAGAATGTCTGTTTAGAAAGGAGGTGAGGTGCCTGCTGAAGTCGTCTTCTCTGCCCAGAGAGCTGGGGGTCAGACGGAAGCCAGGAAAGCCTATCCGTGTCAGGGGGTGTGCAGTGGGTGGGGGACAAGCCTAGTCAGGGCAAGCCACACGCCAGAGAAACAGGAAGATGGGGCTGTGGAGCAGATAGCTATGGGGTCTGGGTGTTGTACCTGCTTCAGAAGGCAGGGAACTGTGCCCGACCCCCTGAGCTTCCCCAGGAAATGGGCTGTGGTTTGCTAAGGGTGAGGCACAGGGCTCAGGCAGTACCAGATCTGTTGTTCTGTGCTCAAAGTGAAGGATCTGGTAAGAATCAGTGGTTTTGCTTGATGATGGCTGTTTTTCTGGCTTCTAATTCTTGGGTCTCCGAGCTCTTGGGGCCCTTTGCAGCCTGATGGCCTGATACTAATCCAGTCACAGGCAGTGTGCACCTCTGCTCTTCTGGGGCCTTTTCTGAGGTTACACTCAAATGCTCTCCCTCCCAGAGGGGTGGAAGGGTAGAGGAGAAGGCACATAGAGTATAGCCATGGGACAAATACCAGTTTTGATTCCTTGTGGAATTGCACTTCGAGTTTATTCGGACTTCTCTGAAAAAGAAGTTTGCTGAACATGATGGAACTCATCTCCTCCCACGTCATTCTACCTCTGTGGTTATAAAACACCTGTTACTGCCTTTATATTCGGCTACATGAGCCTAGGGACCCTGAGATATAGGTGCATAAGGATCTCAAGGACCTGGGAGTCCAATCCCCTCACCACTGTGGACAGCACTGGCTCCCCTTGGGCTCCTTTTCTTCTCACCCAGCTTCATTCACCAAGCTCCAGGGTGTTCAGAATCCTGAACTGATCTGGGCCCTTCAGAAAACAGGGCAATTCGTGCTCCATGTGACTGATACCCAAGCTGCACTGTCCCAAACATGGGCCAGGATGTGTTTGATTCGGTGACCATTGTAGCTGTTGTTACTTCCCCTCTTTTTTTTTTTTTTTTTTGTTTGTCTTCTTGAGACAGGGTTTCATTATGCAGTTCAGGCTGGCCTTCAGCTCACTTTAGTCCAGGTTGGTCTTGAACTCACAATGATCTTCCTGCCTCAGCTTCCTGAGTTCTGGGATTACAGGTGTGAGCCACCACACCCAGCCTCCCTTCATCTTCCTTTAAAGGTGGGTTTCCCTCACAGGGACAAGGTGGCTGCCTGCTTTCCAGCTCTTCTTTCAGGTGGAGCCTGGCTGGTAAACACTGAGGGGTCTTCCAAGGGTCTCGGGAGTCTCTTCCTCATTTGCACCTTATTCAAAGATCAGATGTGTAGCAGCCAGGATCTGCAAACAAGAGTGAAAATGTCATCAAGACATAACCAAGAAGCTCCAAACTCCATCTGTTTCATTTACAGAGAAAAACACTACAGCTCTCCCTCAGGACTTATGGACTTTAGTTTTTCACAAAATTCACAAAGTGAATCCAGTTACCAGAACTCCTAAGTCCTTTTTCTTTGCTTTGCTTCCTTTCTTTTCTTATCCGTGTTTGCAATATATAGGAAATATATTCTTTGTGGGGAATTGGTAATGTACATGCTGCCTTTTAATCCTTTTAACTGGATGCCTAGGTCTTAAAAGATGAGCAGCAGCAGAGGGGAAGCAGACTATCCCAGCTTTCTAAGACAGTGGGAACACGAAGCTTTGGGAACCACAAAAAACCATCTAGAATAATCTATCATGCAGGCAAGAAGGGAATTCTTGACTGGACTTGGCTCTGGGTCTTTGATCCACCACTGGCTTTTCTTCTTTTTTCTTTTGAATCCAGTGCCTTTGCACTGAGCTACATCACCAATCCCCTTCACCTTTTTACTTTGTAAGACAGGATCCTGCTTAGGTCATTAAATTGCCTGTGATTGGCTTGAACTTGCAATCTCTCCTGCTTCAGCCTTCTAGGGCACAGTATTAGGTGTGCCCATTATCATGCCTGCATCTACCACTGGTCAATATGCAGCTGAGTCGCTCTCAGTCAGGCACGGGAGGCTGAGGCAGGAAGATGGCAATTTCAAGCCCAGCTTGGGCAACTTAGTCACTTAGGGATAACCTGTCTCTAAAAAATAAAAAAGGGTTGGGGATACAGCTCAGTGAGAAGACTCTGTATTCCCTGGTCTCAACCCCCAGGACTATAACAAAACAAAACACATATGCAAAAGACAATAGCAGTATGGAAACATTCTCAGCTTCAACTCCCTTCTCCCTAAAGTGAGTTACGTGAAGATTAGGGAAATAACGGGGCAGCAGCATTGACGATGACTGGGGAGGGTGTAGTCACAGAGCAAAGGCTCAGAGTAGAAAGGCGCAGCACACATTTTAAGAAGTGCATTTGGAAATACATTGGTGTTAGCAATGAGTATTTGGGTAGATGGATGATTAAATCTTTTTTTAACCTTAAACTTTACTCTTTTCCACAAGTGTTTTATTTCCTTTCTTCCCATCCTGGATGCCTGGTGTATCAGGAGAGCTCAATCCATGTGAACTGAGTGAACTGAGTGAAATGACTTAAGACGGTTTTGGTAGTGACTGTGATGGTACCTTCTAACCCTGGAAGGGTAAATGAGGCTCTGGAGATGTTGCCCCTGTGAGTTACAGAGTAAATATTTAACAGGCACAGGACTCAGGCTCAGATCTGTGAGTCTCTGAGCCTGTGACAGTGCTACCTGGGAACAGGCTGCAGGAAACAGCTGCTTCTATACGTCCGCTTCACTGAGCCACAGGTGCCTACATAGCTGGTCAAACGTCACTGGGATGAGCTTGTGAAGGCGTTCATGGGAGAGATGAGCAGTTAAACTGGTGAGCTGAGTGGCTCTGCTCTCCTTCACCAAGTGGAGGGCATTGTTCAATCCCTTGAGGGTATCAGGAAAGTAGAGAGGAGAGGAAGGTTAATTCCACCTGACAGCTTCAGTGGGCACATCAATCTCCAGCCTGCAAAGCAGCTAGTTCCCAGGCTTTCTAACCTGGCCTATCATGTACACCACCAATTTCCTGGGTCTCTTCCTTCCAGATGGCATTGTGGGACTTCTCAGTTTCTATAGTCATGTGAGCCAGTAATCTAACTGTTAAATAAACTTTACAGGAGACAGTTGTTTGGACTTAAGTCCTGCACCAGGCCCAAAAGACCAAGCCAAAATGGAGTCAATGCTGAAATTCCATACAGCAAGCCAAAACTAAGTTGTTTAAAAAAATACAATAACAACAAAACCCCAACTATGCTATTTAACTGACCTTCAGAGAAATCAAAACAGGAAACTAAATTTTTGAATAAGCAGTTTTAGTTGGTATGATAAAGAAGTCCCATCTGCTTTAACTCTTTCAAGTTAGTGGATTTTTTTTGCAGTACGGGGGATTGAACTCACAACCTTCAGCTTGCCAGGCAGGTGCTTATGCCGCTGAGCTAAATCCCCAGCCCATAACTCTTACAAGTTAAAAAAAGAAAAAGGAATGGTGAAACACCAACCAATTCACTTTTGTTTCTGCTTTCCTCAGCCTATTTTCTGTTACAAAACCAACCTCCTGCCAGGGATGGTGAAGTGGGAGGTTGAGGTAGGAGGATCACAAGTTTGAGGTCTGAGCCCTGCCGACAATTTAGCAACACACACATACAACAGCTGGGGACGTGAAGGCCCTGGTTCAATTCCCAGTAATTGCAGAAACCAACCTATCAGAGGATGGCACGTTAGCAGTGCAATGGCAGTGTTTAGATTGCAGCATTTAAGGCCCTGGGTCACTCCCTACCACCAAAAATGAAACAAAGAAAAAAAACCAGTAGACTGAAATGTTGTATTCTAGATAGAGGAATAGTAACTTGCCAGATAAGATCCTTAAACTCCCCCCCCCCCGCCCCCCAATTGAACCAAGGACCTTGTGCTTGCCAGGCAGGCACTGTGCCCCTAAGCTATACCCTGGCCCAAACTCATTTTGTTATGATTCTGTTTTCTTTCCAGTCCTGAGGAGTGACCCTTCATATTATGTGATGTCCTTAACCCTTTTTTCATGTTTTACTTTGAAAGGGTTAAGTTGCCTGGACTGGGCTCAAACTTGTGATTCTCCTGCCTCAGCTTCCCAGTGATGGAATTTTACAGGCATATCTCACTATACCAGGTGTAATTCTGCCTTTTGACATAGCACATCTGTTCATATATATCTTTTAGCTCTTCTGTTTCTCTGAGGAATCCTTATTAGGAACAGGTGGGTGAGGTTTTCTTTACTCTCTCCAACCCCTCTTACCATTACAGAGATCTAGACAGGTACAGCAACCATTAAAAAATTCTTTTTTTTTAGACAGGGTCTCACTGTATAGTGTAGGCTAGCCTTGAATGTTTATGCAGCCTCCTGCTTCAGCCTCTTGAGTGCTAGGATTACAGGTGTACTACACCAAGCAGAGCTTAAAAGTTCTGTTTCTACAAATTAAATAAAAACACTGTAAAAATTTAATAGGTGCTAAAACTTGGTTTTGAGATTTTATTAAAAAAATATATTTGCAAACATATAAAATTTAAGATGAAAAATGCTCATTTTAAAACATGTAATAACTTAATATTTGCAAACATACACAGATGGTATAAAACCCATACCGTTAAAAATGTTAATGATGCAGTATCAGTATTGCGCTTGTGGAACAAAAAATCTTGCTGTCACCCCACAGCTTCTTGCCCCACACTGCTGGGAGCCAAGAATCCAGTACAATGAAGGTCATGAGAGCCACATGGCCAAAGCAGTGACACAGGATAAAAAGATCACTTAGAACACATATTTTAAAAACATGTTTCCTAAGGATTCGCACAGACAAAGGGCAAACACAATTCTGCATTTTTCCCACTTCGAAATGATCAATATTGCATCTTAGCATTTAAAGGAAAGATGCCAAATCCAAATCTGAGAAACATTGCACGTATCTCTCCTGCTGAAATCTGCTGAAAAACAGGCTTCCTGAGGCCCTGGCCCACTCACTGAAAGGTTCTCAAGCATAGGTTTTAAAAAGCCTAGTGTAAGCTGCTCTGCTCAGATCTCAACATTTTAGACAGTGAGAAGCAGAGCACTATTGCTTCTAGAAGGTAAACGCAGCTGAAGGAAACCAAAGGGAGGCAAGAAACATGGTCTGCACACAACACGGGGCAAGGATGCAGGGCGCAGTCCCTGACCCCTCACAGTCCTCTTTGCCATGCTGCAAAAGCTCACCTGTGCCTGCGCCACCTCACTCCTCCCCAAGTTACAGTGGGATGGCTGATTCTGTTTTGTAAGCAGTTAGGCACCTTCAATTTCACATTGCATTATTAGTAATACATTGGCAGTTATGGCCTCTACTATCAAAAAGAGAAAGATTCAAACTACATTCTTTGGGGCAGGAGAATAATAAAGCTGCATGGTTTAAAAATATTTACCTAAGAGTGGATTTGGTGGGATTTATGGTTTCTACAAGAAAACACAGGCCAGAAATATAACAAATGCATGGACATGCAAAATCTATCAGATACATTCTAAGGTAAGCCTGTGCATCCTCCTGTGAGAAGGGCCCAGGCTGACTTAAATTCTGAAAAAAAACCCAAAACACTTCTGTTCAAGGTAAGCTGTGGACATTCCACACACAGACTGCATGAAATGCTGCTTCTGACATTGATGGTCACTTGAAAACTTAGGTTCCAAGGTCAAGCAGGCCAACTTTTACACCTCACAAATCCCAGGAGAGATGCTCAAGAGAGAGGAATAAGGCCATCTGCAAGGTACATAGGTGTGTATGATTTGTTCAAAGACATCGCTTTACAACATAAAGAGCAGCGCCACCCATTGATGATCCTGTACACATACCATACTCTGGGCTGCAAAGGTTAGGGGAATGGATATATGAATAGATGGACTGAGTGGTCTAAATGCAGGTCTCCCGGGGTTCTGCAAAACCTAGCAAGAAGCACCTCCATCTTGGTGTTCACTTCTGTTCTAAGTTTCCAGTAAAGATGCGGCAGCAATGTAAATGTGCAATCTAAGCTAGCATGAGGTTCTGGAGAGTAAGCCTGAACGAAGAATAAGGCAACTGAACTGTGACTAGCCAAGGTCATCCAACTGCAAGAATCCAGGCTTGGCCTGGCTCTCTGGGGATTCATTTTGGCCTGAACTTCCTGGTAATCAGGACCACGAACTTCTGGCTTCTGCATTTTTATATAAACTTGGGAGTGAAACAGGTTTACCTTTTTCAAGTCTCCATGACTTGGGCACTTAAGTTTACTTTAACACTAAGGAAGCCTTATCATAGATTTTCTTTTACTGTCCATCATATTCATTCTGAGGATTAAAGGGTGACTGACTATAGCCCCTCTGTAGGGTATTCTCTTTGTACGCTCTCATATTATTAAACATACTCAAAAGCATCATTTAAATTCAAATGTCTATTATAGCGAGAATCCCTTGATTTGTCTCTTTCCTAAAGCCCCTGAGACTATACTTGGGGCATGATCAAACCAACCGGTAAATTCATTTTATGAGAACAGCCACATGGCTTTCTGCACACCATCTCTGGTGTCAGCAACACTCCTTATCTTACCGTAACTTTCTCTCACTGTAACTTTCTCTATCTTGGATGACGTATTAGCAATTCATTTTTGGTTGCTGAGTCTATACACTATCTTTGAAAACAAACTACCCCTAATAGAGTATGACAACCTATAAGCTTCCCTGAATTCTACACGATTCACACATAACTAGGTAGACAGTAAGAGAAGACACTAAACTGAGCAGAAACACTGTCTAGGAAGCATGTTAGATCAACAGAAGCCAATCAGACGAAGTATTCTTTATCCTAAAAAAACTAAGACCAAACTAAAGTATGTAATTCACAAGTAATTTCCTAAAATTTCAGCTAGAAAACCCCCCTACAGATTTATGATTGAGTTACCATTAAAGCTTAAATGATTGTTCCCAAGGAACCATCACATTTGTCAGCATTATTCACAGCTAATCCTTATGCTAGCTGGTTGAGCCACGTGGGTTTTTACCCCATCATTAAATAGTGCTCAGAAAAGTAAGCAGTGCATCTTAACTGGTTAAATACTACAAAATGATCTGTATCATAGAAACGAAGACACTTTCATTCAAAGAATATCTTAAAATTACTATTGCTGAAATAAATCAAAATCTACATTAAAATATTACTAAACACCATTACATGCCATAAAAGAATAAATATAAATCATGGCAGATCAATAGCAGCATAACAAAGCATCTTTACACATTTTCACACTTTGGGCTGGAAAAATACTCACAGCCTAGGAATACACTGGTAAAGTTCTGAATCTCACACTTTCTTCTAAATGCCATATTCAACAACAAAGTAAGGGCAGTGTGAATAACAGTTCCCTTTTCTGCATAGCTTTAAAACTGTTCTCAGTACACTTGAGGAATGGAACCAGAATGGCTTTGTCAGATTGGTCCACTGGTCCTTTTATGAAAGTGTTAAAACAAATAACAATGAATTTTATCGGTTTAGACAGAAAAGGAAAATAAAAGGCTGTGTTCCACACACAATTTAACATTTCCAAAACCACTGGAAAGTTTAACTTAAAATGAAAATTTCTGGTAGGATTTGAGCATTCCCAGTCCCAGCCTATTTCAAATTCTGTATCACCAAAAATCTCAGAAGGACCCTATTTGAACAGTAATGCTGCATTGGTGCCTGCTGCATGGCAGGAGTGTGGACATTTAAAAACAAGATGCTGACAAATTTCACAATTTTAAAGGCCCAAATGGGGGCATACATTTAAAATATACTTTGCTTGAACAAATAATTCCTAATTTGTCAACTTAAACTCTGATCCTTTAAAACTCAAAGTTACTGTTAGAACTGATTTCTATTCTGTTCCACACTAGACTGTCAGCCTAATGCCACGTCTAGTGGGCGGGTGGGTGGGGAAGGGGTGCAGGTGAGGTTGAGTTCTGCTGCAAGGCTGGTGGCTACTTCTCCCTAAGTCCTTGAAAATGAAAGTAAGCTGAAAAACCAGACTCCCTATTTCACATACTTCCGCATAGCTGATGAAAACACCCATATAGCTTAATACAATGGTCGTTTTGTTGTTTTGTCAAAATAAAAGTCTGCTGGTGATGCTTCACAGTGAAACCTCCATTGTCACTGAGAATGTCACTTAGAAACATTCTTAAGGACTGAGTCTTTCATAGGCTCGATTTCATAATTCTCAAAACTCCATGTTCTACTTAGAAAGAAATTTCCATGATGAAGTCAATTTGTTCTTGATTGACCTCTGCCTTCGGATTTATTCTACTCCAGTCATAGGTTGTAGTTGTCTTTGCTCTTGGTCAGAACCTGCAGGTAAACTTCATGAAGTGTACTGAGGAAGCTGGAATCATTCTGGAAGAGATGAGGAAGGTAATGACATCAATATCACATTTACCTCATCAGAGCTCACTTCTTAGATAATAGTTCAAGAACAAATTATATAAATGGTGTAACTAATTTATTAATTACCAAATGATCTCGTTACCCAGTCAGGATTAACACTGGGACTCTAAGTTATTACTCCATCAAGGGTATAAACTTACAAAGAGAGAAACATTGCATTACTTTTGAATTTGTAAGAAGAACTTATACAATTAGTTTTCTTTTACTGAATAAAAACAAGACTCTATTTATTGAGAGCTCACCTACCTTAATCAGATGTATCAATGTATCCTGGAGCTGAGACTTGCTGAGAATAAGGGAAGACTTTCTCTGATTTTCTGGTGTGCCAATGGTGAGGGGAGAAGGAGAATTTGCTTTTCTCTCAAGGTCGGCGGACCTTGGAACAGTCTGCTGGAAAACACTTGGCGATAGCAGGACTGAAGATACTGCTGTGGTTGTCGCAGTAACCAATGGAGGGCCTGCAACCTGTGTGTGGGCAGTGGTCAGTTTATATTGTGGAGAAGCAAACAGCTGGTTCCAAGCAGGGCCCATCTGATCACAGGCACTAGCAGTGTTAGGTCCAAAGCACTGAGCTAACAATGCTTTTATCCATCCCCCTCCACTTCTTTCCTGCACGCCTGTCTCCCTTCCACCCACTAGGTAGTGCTGGGGATTGAGCCCAGGGCCTTTCGCAAGCTAGACAAGTGCTTTACCGCTGAGCTAAAAGCCTCAGCTTTCAAGCACTAACTCTTTTGGGTTCAGAAAAGCACTTAGTAGAAACATTTGACCATTTAAAACCAGTTACCGTGGTGCATATTTATGTCCCAGCACTTGGCAGGCCAAGGCAGAAGGATCATTAGTTTGAGGCCAGCCTGGGTTACACAACGAGTTCAAGGCCAGCATGAACTACAGAGACCCTATCACAAAAACCAAACCAAACCGATCCAATGAAACATCTGAACATTTAATTTAATCTGGCCCTGAGGCTCCTGTTAGCTGAAAGATGGAGAGTCCACTTGTGGAAGAAAGCCCTAGAGCAGTGACGGCGAACCTTGCTGCAGCACGCATGCCTTAAGTTTGTCACCACTGCCTTAAAGTCATCTAGGGAATCCAAGTCCGACCACTACAGGAGGTAGCTGTGAGAACTAACAGTATAGCACGAACACTGAGAACAATCTTATGAAGAAACAAACTTTCCTTGGAGATGGAGCTGAGGAAATGACTGGACAAAGATATGATGAAACTTTCTGTGGTGATGAACTTGTTACCTATCTTGGAATGGCTTATCTTGGTTTTTTTCTGGTACTGGGGATTGAACCCAGAACTTCTGCACCAAGCTGCATCCTCAGTTCTTTTTATTTGGAAACAGTGTCTTGCTAAATTGCTCAGGCTGGACTCATACTTGGGATCTTCCTTCCTCAGCCTCCTGGAGTTTTGAGATTATAGGTGCATATCACCACACTCAGCTGGACTGTTTTACCAAGGGGCTGTTATATACATGTGTTAGAATGCCTTAAAAATCTGTATTGTATGCAAATTATAATAAAGAGACATTAAAAATTAAGTTCTGGGCTGTGACATAGCTCAGTGGTAGAGTACTGGCTTTGCCTGTGCAAAGCTGGTCCTAAGCTCCAGAACAGCAAACAAAAACCAGACAATGTTATACAATTTCTTAAAACACAGCAAACATCTACCTACTTCCTCTATTTAGATGTGCTGCGGTACTAATTACAGTTAGCGATCAGAACACATGAAACCAGTTTTATGATTCTCACACTTGATAACAATGAACAGAAGTTCTACCTTTCTTGTGCCTTTTGAGCCACATGCACAGCTCATTTTTTTTTTTTTTTTTGGTACCAGGGGTCAAATCCACAACCTTACACTGCAGTGCAGGTGCTGCCTGCTGAGTGAAATCCCCGGCCACACAGCTCCTCTCTCTTGCTTCCATGACACCTCCTCATTTACCAATAGCAAAAGAGTTTGCCAGAGTTTTATGGCTATGGTTCCTGTATCGAGCCATTTATCTTGTTTTTTGGGGTACAAAACCAGGGTAGAGCCCTTTGCTAATCACTACAGAGTCGGACAACCCACCCGAAACCAGGCAGAACCTGGATTAAACTTAAATTTGAGACTCAAGATGTATACATGTCCAAAGGCAAAAAAGAGTTTGACAAGAAAAGAACTGAAAAGAGAATGTGGATTTCAAGGTTGGTAGGTGATGGAGAATAGGGGACCACACAGGTAAAAAATGAGACCTAGTGAGGTGTGATAGTGCACACCTGTGATTCTAGTACATGGGAGGCTGAGGCAGGATGGTCATCCTGAGTTTGAAGTCAGTCTGGGATACATAGTGAGTTTGAGGCTGGCCTGGACTACATAGTGAGACTTTGTCTGAAAATATGAAAAAAGAAAAAGAGGGAAGACCTGAAAGGATAAACAAGGAACACAGTACTAAGGCCTGGGAGGCTCCATCATTACAGCAGTGGGAAATGAGATGGTGGCAGGATAGTGGCTGTCATTGTGAACAGCACAGTTCTCCCAGGACAATGAATGTTTTCTATTTATAGAAACCAGCTTTGATGGGGATATAATCCTGTAATTCTGGAACTCCGGGAGGCTGAGGCAAGAAGATCGTAAATTCAAGCCCAGCCTGGGCACCTTAGTACTTTGCAAGATTCTGTCTCAAAAAATAAAAAAGGGTTACAGATGGAGCTCAGTGTGAATGAAGGCCCTTGGTTTAGTCCCTAGAAAAGCAGACACACACACAAAGACACAGAAACACACACACACCGAGAAAAAAAAAAAAAAAAAAAAGAAGAAAAACCAGGTTGACACAGTCAGCAATCACCCACTCACAAGCTCCAATGAGGCCCACAAAGGCTGACCAGAGAAGATGATGAGGGCCACAGAGGCCACAGCAATGAACTCTACTTGAGGGAGCAGAGGGGCCCTGGGTAGGAGGGACATCTAAGGCCTGGGCTTGAAAGTTGAACTTTTTCACTAAAGTGATACTAGTTTACCCCACATCCAATAGTACTTCAAAAACATATAATAGATTCTTCAGAAAAATGGAGTCTTACCGAGATGGCACTGGATAGCATCTTAGGCTGGGCAAATACTTCAGGGTCCTGGTTTTGCTGCATAGACTGAAATGTTTAGTAAGAAAAGGTAAATACAGAGGGGAAGGGGTTGGGGATTTAGCTCAGAGGCATAAGTGCCTGCCTTGTAAGTGTATTGTCGTGAGTTCAATCCCTGCTACCGATAAAAAATAAATAAATAAATAAATAAAAAGAAGACAATATGTAACCTATTAACCAGTGATTTCTTACTGTATATTTTTTTCCTTGAAATTCTGTATTACTTGTACGCTTTTACTGCTTTTTTAAAATGTCCTTTCTTTTTTCTCTTTAAATAAAAAAAAAAAAAGGTAAATACAGGTAGCACATTTCAACTCAAATTTCCTGGTTACTGGGGTGATAAGGAACAGTTTAGATATTAACCAGTAGTGCCTGGGCTGTTCAGGGAAAAGGCTGACAGGAACTTCGGACAATGCAACCAATCACTCTACTCCACCATGAGGACTTGGGCAGGCTTTGCTCAGTTTCCTTGCAAAAGGGGTGTGGGCAGAGCTGTGTCTAGAGAAAAAGCTGAAACCTGAGTTTCTCCTAAGAGCTAAGGACAATCGGTTTTGCTGCTGGGTACAGAAGACAGATCTTGGTTGCCTGACACATATTTTTGTGTGCTGGGATCGTATTCAGGGCCTCACACCGGTGTTCTCCTGCTGAGCTGCACCCCAAGCTCAGTCTAACTTCTTTCAATCAAGTGACTTAAATCTGGGTGGCACTGAACAGTATTCACCACAGCCGCACTCCACATGCTCATTCTGTCCTCATTCACTGGAGAGAAAGAATTTGTAGAGCAAAATACGAGAATTCAATAAAGCACAGGTCCTACAATTAGCTGTTGTCACATATGTAAAAAATTACAGGCAAGTGAGTGATTCCTGCCAGGAGGCACCCAAGAGCAGGGTGTTATCCTGGAAGCCAGAACCTGCAGAGGATTTGGATCAGGATTCCTGGTTGTACTTTCAGAACTCAGGCAGTCATAGGAACATTTTGGGGACATGACAGCCATCTGTTAAACACAATGTTTTCTTTTTTACGCTGCAGAAAAAGACTGGAATGTGACAATGGAATAATGAAATCAGGACATTAAGTTTTCTTTCTATCCAACATGTCAAAGAAATGAAAATATCCCATTAACTAAGAAACAATATATGTAGTCTATCCTCCCTCCTTCCCTCTTGGGAGGTGAACCCATGGCCTTCTCACTAAGCTACAGTCCCAGGTCTTTTAAAATTTTCTGTTTTGAAGACAGAGTTGCTGAGCCACTATGCTGTCCAGGCTGGGCTTGAATTTGCGGTCCTCTTACTTGTGCCTCCTAGAGGGCCAGAACTACAGGCCTGCATCACCACAGCTGCAATGCAGTCATTCTGATGGGTTATTCTATATAAGCTGGTAAAGTGTTAAGGCTGGGACCGGGGATGATTTCCATTACCACTGAAGGGCACAAGACTCACATCCTAAAGGCAACCACTTTTATTTTACTTTTTCTTTTTTTGAGACAGTATCTCACAATGTAGTGCAGACTATCCTCAAACTCAAGGTGATCCGCCTGACTCAAGTTTCCTGAGAGATGTGACTGGAGGCAGGCGCCACCACGCCTGGTTACCCACTAGTGTTTTAGAGTAGCAGGTTCCATTCCCTTTCAGTCTGTGGTCTTCTGTGTGTCACTTTTGTGTGTCACTGTTAGTTGATTTTCTCATTTGTAAGCTCAGCAAATTTATGCATTATGGTGAAAGACAACTTTCTTTTTACTCTCTTCACCATTTACTGTGTACCTGTCCACGTTCTCCAATTTAAGCCTGAGCCAGGTTAAGCTTAGACTGCTGCAACCTCTTTCTCGGAAGGCTGTTCTTTTCTCACAACACACCAAAAACGTCCCAGGGCTGAGAATGAAGCTCAGATTCCTTAAACCCAACTCCAGTCGCATTCACCTCCCAATACCGGCTTCACTCCTTTCTACAACATACCTATCTCACCGTGATTTCCTGTTTTGTATTTTTAATGCTGGGGATTGAACCCAGGACCTTGCCATGGTAGACAAACACTACCACTGGGCTTTGTGCTTAGTTCTCTTGCTATAGTTTTCTAAATTGGCCAAATGCTTTCTCATCTCCAGGGTTCTGCATATGCTATCCCACTACCTGGCTGAGGGGCTGCACCCTCAGTCACACCCCCAAGGTCATCTCTGGGAGCTCTGGAATGACTGAGTCTGGGCCTCACATCTCTCTGAGGCTCCCATCAAGGTCCTCATGGCTACACAGGTCTGCAGGTGCTGGCAAACCCCTGTTCCTAAAGCCACTGTGATCTCAGCCAGGCCTAGTGGCACAGCCTTGTATCTTCTGTGAACAGCTGACCCTTCCTTGGACTACACTGCCTGAAGACAGGCTCCACCAAAGATTTCCTTGTGCATTTCAGTTCAAAGCAGGACTTTGACAAAGAGGGCTAAAGATACCATGAGTGGTGGGAACTAGTGACTTTGTCCAATAGCAGGGCAAACTGAGGATGCTTAGACAAGGAGCTCTCCTAGCCAGGACGTGTGGTCAGCTCTGTCTGGTGGCAACAGGACAAGGTCTTTGCCATCCCCGCCAAGCCTTGGCTGACAGGGGCCCCAGTCACTGAGCACCTCACCACAGTAAGGTGCCAGGGGCCAGTAAGAAGGGAGGTGACACACAGAACCAAGTAAGGGACTGGTACAGGAGAAGAGAGGGATCAACCTTAACTGAGCAGGACCACCTCTTATGACCTGCCCAGAAAAGCACAGTGGGTGCCCTCATTCCCCTGACTTTTTTTCCTTTTTTTCGTGGTGCTAGGGATTGAACCCGGGAGCCTTGTGAATAAAAGGCAAGAGTTCTACCACTGAGCCACATCCCCAGCCCCAGTCTCTTTTTTTGCAGTGCTGGGGACTGAACCCTGGGCTGTCACACTGATCTGCATCCTCAGTCTTTTAATTCTGACCGAGAGTCTCGCCAAGTTGTTCAGCTGCCTAGGCTGCTGAGCTCCCCATCCTGCTGCACACACTACTCTTGCCTTGAATGCTCCCAACACTAGGGAAAGAGGTGTAATCAGCAACTGAGTCTTCAGGCTGCCGCCAATACACTGGCTTTGTCAGGACGCTTTGCTGACCCCTCAGCTCTGCATCGGGATGCTCTTATGTCACTGCTGCCACAACACAGGCATGTAAGAGTGCTAAAGAAGATGGGAACGCCCTTAGCTTGGAATAATCTGAATCTAGCCTCGAGACAAATGAGGACTCCTAGAAATGTGAGACACAGACAAAACTAAAACGAATACCTGGCTAGGAAAATAGTTTCTCAGCTTCCATCAGCTGCAATAATCCTAAGTGAACTGAACTATACTCTCACCAACTATGATTAATTCATATAGAGTTTCTTACCACCCTGATTTGGATCTAGACCATGATTTATATCTAGGATTCCTCTAAAGGCTCGTGTTGAAGGTCTGGTCCCCAGTGCAGCAATTCTTGGAGGCAGGCTTTTGGGAAGGGACTGGATTGTGAAGGCTTTGATCTTATCAGTGGATTAATCCACTGGAGTTCAGAGCTGACTGAACTATTAGGAGATGGCAGAAGCTGTAGGAGGTATAGTCTAGTTGAAGCTAGTACACAGGGCACTGGGGTAAGGTACGCCCTGGGAAGGTGTATTTTGTCTGACCCTTCCTTGTTCTTCTCTCTGCCTCCCAACCACCGAGGTGACCAACTCTGCTCTACCACACCCTGCTGTCATGATGCTGTTTCACCACAGGCCCCAAAACAATGGAGACATGATCACAGACTGAAATCTCAGAAACTAAATCAAAAACTTAAATCTTTCCTCCTTTAGCTGATTTTCTTAGGTACCCTGTCATGACTGAAAGCTAACAAGCACCCTTGTCTCCACACACTTCACATCATCACAGTTCTGTCATCTTATCCCCCCACCCCTTCTGACATTACCTGAAGGGGAGCAAGCACCATGTTGCTCAGGGAGGCAGAGGCCACTGTTCTGGCGGCTGCTGTCTTCGGGGGAGGCTCTATGAAGCTCTCGGGTGTGGCCAGCTGGCCAGCTGCTGGAGGAAAGCTGGGTGCTACAGCACCTTTCCCAAGTGGCTGTGTCTGTATTTGGTCATGCTGTGAAGTCAACCTGAGTTTCTGCAGAAGATCAACACTTGGGAGGGGTGTGCCAGCTGTGTTTGTCATACTCAGTGGGGCCCTGAAGGGGCTCTGGCTGGCAATTAGACTGCTGTGGCTTAGCTCCTGGATTGGCTGGTTCAACAGTGGAGACCTCTGCCTAGGTGTGGTTTTCATTGCAGGCATCATAGTGCTATTTCGAGGTAATGCAGGGGCAACCTGTGTAGTAGCAGCTTCAGGTGGCAGAGTGGGACTGAGAACGGGGCTCAATGGGCTCGTGTAGCTTGGAGCATGCCTTTCACTAGACTGTGTGATTGAAGCTGGAGTGATGAGCACCGGAGTAGAGACTTCAGGTTGGACTGTGTGGTGAGCAGCTGAATGGACACTTAGGTTTTCCAACTGAGCGGCTTCTCCAGAATGCTCAAAGGGAAATGGTAGGAACGAGCTGGGCTCTTTCTGGGTGGCATCTCCTGCGAGCTTCTCTACTTCTTCTGAATCCAGACCCATAACTGCTGGTTGTTCTTTTGGCAAAGAAGTTCCAAACAATTCTTCCACTGTCAGATGTTTATGTCCAGATGGAGCAGACTGAAGAACAAATCAAACCACCCAGTGAAGGAAGTCTCTAGAAATCAGTGTAGCCAAACTTCCCCATCAACCAAAAGTCCTTTTATTTTTTGTTAGTGTCCTGCTAAATTGCCCAGGTTGACCTCAAACTTATGATCCTTCTACCTCAATCTCCCAAGTAACTGTAATTACAGGTGTGTTCTAGCACACCCAGCTCAAATGATTTATGTATTTTTATTGTTCCTGACAAAAAGCTATGATGGTACCTCAGGGACTGGGTTCCAAATATCAGTAAATTTAATTAATAGCATAACTTTCGCCCTTCTTATCCCAAATCACAGAATCCTTAAGAAAGTAAAGTATTAATGGGTGTAGAGCTGTATGCCTGTAATCTGTTATTTGGGAGACCTAAGTACACTGCAAGTTTGAGCAAGTTAGTGAGGCCCTGTCATAAAATAAAAACTTAAAAAGACATGTGGTGGGGCTGGGCATGTAGTTTCACAGTATAGCACTTGCCTAGCATGAATGAAGCTTTGGTTTTGATCTCCAGTACTACAAAAACCTAAGAATTCAAATCTGCACATTTTAAATTTATGTATTATTTCAGTGCATTAGCTAATTAACACCCTTTTAACTATTACTGTTTTTTGAGGTGAAATCTTGCTATGTTCCGGGGTTAGCCTCAAATTCACAATACTCTTACCTCAGCCTCCAAGAAGCTGGGATTACAGGTGTACACCACTATGGCTGGCCACTGGCAACATTCAAAGGAAAAATATGTGTTTCTCCCCTTCTGAGCTTTTCTTTGGTCCTTCAAGCAGTATTTCCATATCTATCACTTAACTTACATTTCCTGAGTACTCAGGTTACCAGGTCCTGCTCTAACTTGAGCCCAGGCTAAATGAGCAGGGAGTAACAACACACCTCCTCACGGAGCTTCCGTTCTGTGGGAGGAATACCTAAGTACTTCAAAAACACAATTTTTTATTGTTTCACTCTTCAAATATGTACTTAATTTTTAGAGTATGCTCATATTGAAAAATGCAATAAAAGACATGGTTTCAGGGAGTCAGAAAGGTCTGTAAAGCCCTAAAGCTCCCTGTACTTCAAGTTTCATGTGACAGCATTATGGTATGATCTTATTTATTTAGTCTTTTTGACACAGGGTCTCACTATGCAGTTCAGGCTGGCCTTGGGCTCACTTCATAGCCCAGGCTGTCCTTGAACTCCCAACAATCCTCCTGCCTCAGTCTTCTGAATGCTGGGATTACAGGTGTATACCACCACTGGGCCCAGTCTGATCCTATTTCTACAGGAAAATAAGCTCAGTTTTTTTCTGGGCAAATGTTTTTGTTTTAAGCATCTGATAAATCACCAAGTTCAACAGGTGCCAGGCAGTGTGCTCTCATTATGAGGTGGAGAGGATGCAAGGACAACTTGGTCCAATGGGCAGCTGTGAGGCAGAGCTGCAGGGGCCCATGGATGGAAGGAAGGAACTGAGGGGTGAGGGGAACTGGCTGGAGAGGCTTGGCAGAGATATGACAAAGGAAGAGAGAAGTACTGCAGAGTTTGTTGAAACACACTGGGAATCTCGGCTGTATTAATACGATAGAGGGGGAAAATTGGGGGAAATGAGCCATTCAGGTTTATATTAGAATGCATACTTTACTGGCCACAGACAGACAGACTGGGAGGATAAGACTGAGAAGCATCTGGACTAAGGTCCTATCAGAGAAGATGAGAACTGAGGAGTTAAAATGGAAGGAATCAGAGGCTAGGGAGCTGATAAGTGGAGGTAAAACCATACCCTGGTATCTGTATCCTAGATATGGTGCCACTATGCAGACAGGCAAGTCCAAGAAAGGCCTTCTGGCTGGAGAAGGGAAACTGAGGTGGAATGGGAACACATTTGAGCTCTTGTGGGATGTTTGGAACTTGGAGTTGACTTCAAAATTATTAGTGTTTCTTTGGTACCAAGAATCAAACTCAGGACCTTGCACTTGTCAGGAAGGTGCTTATGCTGCTGAGCTGTATCCCTGGCCTTGATTTGGAAATGATTAAAAGACAAAAATGGTCACAGTAGTTCCAAGGGCAAAGGCAATTCCTCAAGACATTATAGAGACAAAGCATTAGCATCCACCAAACATGGAGAGGCAGGCCTTGAGCAGCATGGATACTGCCTGGCTCTGTTTCTTTCTGGCAGTGTAGTCTGGGGAGTCACTGATTTCTCAGTCTCAGCTCTGCTGTGAAGCAGGGAGGGCTGGTGGGAAGTGGAATGCATGGAACCCAGCACACAGCAGCACTTGCTTAATGTTAATACTTGTAATATCCACAATAGAAAGTAAATTCCTCCAAGGCAGGGGCTGTCTTTCTCATTTATCCCTGATCCTTGGTCTCCTTCCTCCTGAGTATGCCTATCTCCAAAATGGTATCATGAGCCAGACCCAACAATGCTCTGTCCCTAAAGTCTCCCGGGGCTGGGGGTTAGCATGCGGAAAGAGGGAGCGCACTGGGTAATGGATCCCCTCAGTTAAGGAGAAGAAGGCCAACAGCCAAGACTGATGATGCAGGGGGTTCCCATGTTAAGAGTCATTTTTTGCTTTTTCTCCAGTGTAAGGACAGTGTCATCTTTCAGATGAGAGGTAACAGGGTAGGTCTGAGCAAAATGCAGGTGATATGAAATGAATGTGGGGGAAGAAGAGGCAGAAGAGTCTTTCAATTGTAAAAACTGTAGTTTCAGGGCTGGGGATTTAGCTCAGTGGCATAAGCACCTGCCTTGCAAGTGTGCAGTAGTGATTTCGAGCCCTGGTACCGATAAAAACGAAAAAAGATTAAAAAAAAAAAACCTGTAGTTTCATATCAAACCATTTTCAAAGTATTCAATAAAGAGAATTTTGCTAATATTAAAGAGCTAACATACTAGATCTTGGCAAGCTAACATGACAAGAAGCTTTTGTTTACGAAACTTTCAAGTGACAAATTCAGGCTCACTAATAATGCTGTAGTAAGTAAGATAGTAAGACTTATCTGTCATAACACCTTCTAACACTTTAAAGGATTTTTCAGATTCAGAATCTCACTTCAGCTATAAAGCAGCGCCAATAACTAATTACAAACTATGGGTGTAAAAAGCTAAAGATTTTATATGGTTGGATTTTCTCCTATTTCACTTCTGAAAAAACTGGAGTGCATAGTCTACATCAAAAATATCAGTTCTTAGCTGTGGACAGGTAAGGGTCTGTATTTTTTCTATTTAGTTACTAATCTGCAGAATGGGCACAAATGGTGACAAATATTTCATATAGCTGCTGTGGAAATCAAATTTTCAATGTAATGTCTAACGCCCAACAAGCTTTCACTAAGTTGAAATCTGTTACGATCACAAAGTATTACAAAGTCTTTTTTTATAAATAGTTTGGTGCTGGGGTTTGAACCCAGGGTCTCATGTATGCCAGATTAATGCTATATGACTGAGCTACACTCCCAGTCCAACTACAGACAAGCTCCCCTTACCCCCACGGTACTGGGAACTGAACTCACAGTCTTCACATTGAGTGCTCCCCTGCCCTTTCATTTTGAGACAAGCTCTTGCTAAGTTACTAAATTGCCCAGGCTGGGCTTGAGTCTGATATTCATGCCGCAATTTCCCAAAGTGCTAGGATTAGAGGTATGTGCCACAATGCCCAGTTACAGTCTTAATAGCAATCAAGGTAACTTTTTGTGTTTAGATATACCACAAGTTTCAGGGCAGCCTGGATTATACAGCAAGACCCTGTCTTGAGCAAAACAAAACAAAATAAAACACAACTCAAATTTCCCATCAAAACACAAAAACAACCCAAAAAATTTATCACATCTTTCTGAGGTAGTTTGAGACCAGCCAGGGCTACAAAGTTCAAGGCCAGGTTGAACTGCATAGTGAGACTCTTGTCTCAAAAAAACGTAAAAACAAAAACATTCCTTGTCTACGTCAAAAGAGACAACGAATTCCCTCTTGGGAAAGTCGCCTCTGTTGGGGCTGCACAACTGTAGCCAAGTGCACGTTTCACTTCCTGTGGTAAACATGGGGGTTTACTCACTTTTGGAACCCCGGATCATATATATTTATTGATAATCTGTCTGGCTTTTCTCCATGTAAGGAAAAATTCGGCACATGTGGTGTGGTAGTGTGTGCCGGTAATCCTAGCTACTTGGGAAGATGAGGTAAGAGGATCACTTGGGTCTAGGAGTTTGAGGCCTGCCTGACAATATGGCAGAACTCCGTATCAAACCACCCCACCCCACCCCAAACCAAATCAGGTAGAAGACATGTAAAATTTGCTATTTAAGTGGCATTCAGTATTCTGTATACTCACGATATTATGTAACAACCACCACGACGATGTATTTCTAGGGCTTTTTCAGGATCCTGACAACTCTATACCAATTATTTTTTTTTTTTTTGTCGGTACCAGGGATCGAACTCACGACTGTGCACTTGCAAGGCAAGCACTTATGCTGCTGAGCTAAATCCCCAGCCCCAACAATTCTATATCTATTAAATAACTCATCTCCCCTTCCAGTCTCTTCAACCCCTGGTAGCCTTTGTTCTACTTTCTTCTTCTATGAATGTGCATATTCTAGGGACCACATAAAAGTGAATCACACATTATTTTTGTGACCCACTGGGCTTATTTCATTTCACATGTTTTCAAGGTTCATCCATTTTGTACTATATAGCACAATTTCATTATTTTTTGTGGCTGAGTAATCTACCCTACATAAGAATCACATGCTGTTTATCCATCTATCTGTCGACAGACATGAGTTATTTCTACCTTTTGACCATTGTAAGTAATGTTGCTGTGCACAGCGGTACAAAAGTATGTTTGAGTCCTTGTTTTCAGTTCTTCTGTGTATGACAATGATCACATGGTTAATTCTACGCTTCCTGCTCTGGGACCCAAACCCAGGGCTTTGCACATGTTAGGCAAGTGCTTTACCACTGAGCTACATCCCAGCTCTTCAGTTTCACTTTTCAAGGTACTACCAAAGCATCTTTCAGAAAGGGTGCACTTGTCATGAGCAATCCCAACAGAATTCTAATTTCTTCACATCCCTGCCAACATTTGCAATTTTCCTTTCTACGGGTACCAGCCATCCTAATAGATATGTGGTACATCTGACTTTTTGCTTATCTCTAATGATTAATACTGTGCATCTTTTCATGTGCATACTGGCCATTTGTATAACTTATTTGGAAAAATGTTTATCTTCCCCTCTCCCCGCAGGGAACCGAACCTAGGGCCTTGTGTATGCTAGCAAACACCCTACTGCTGAGTTACATCCACAGCCTGTATTCAACTTTTTGTCTGTTTTTGAACAGGGCTAATCACTTTGTAACACACATTTATGTTTAGAACAAAATGGACCAAGATTGCTTGACAAACTCCTAGGAACCAGGTGTGACAGTACAGGTCTGTAATCCTAGCACTCTGGGAGGGTGAGGTAGGAGAGTATAAAGTTTGAGACTAGCCTGAGCAACTTAGAGAGACCCTGTCTCAAGGTGAAAAATAAAAAAGTACTGAGGGTACAGCTCAGTGTGAAACTCTAGTACTAGGGGAGAAAAAGTGCTAGAAACAACTGTGGTTCCTCTTCATTTATGCACATTATACAGTACCTTAACAATCACATTCTATTCTATATACAAATCAATATACTTTGAAAATTACAGCACACTGGGGCCATTCTGTTGAAATGCCAACAATATTTTTGTTTTAAGGAAAGGCATAATCAGGCAGGATGGCATGGAAAAACTCCATGGTAAAATATACCTGGGCTTGACCACAGGAAGCAAATTACACACTACGGAAATACCCTGAGGGGATTATAATAAGCCAACTTGAAACTGAAATAGAACTTAATACTATTAGGGTGTGACAGCATCATTTGTTTCACAGCACTAGATGGCAGTGTTTAAACAAATGTACTGTGTGTAAATGGTGATTATGGACTTGGCCTACTTTTAGGCAATCCCATGGGTTCTGACAATACCAGGTATCAGTATTTTATGAGAATTTTCTACTTTGGTCTAAAAAGTGGAATTTTAGAAGCACATGAGACCTGAAGGAATAACACCATCAGCACTATCTGAATTAGAGGGTATATCTTCTTGAATATCCATTTGAAATTCTTAGTCCATAGATCACTGGCACTGTTGTTGCAAAGCCGAGAGCATTAATAGCTTGTTACACTAATCTTCCAACTTTCAATGGACAGTGCTTTATGATTCTCAAAGCATTTTTCCTAGTCCTTTTCTTTGTTTAGGTTTCCTAACTTGCATTGTATCTCTGGGTGAGGCAGTCTAAGAATCCTTTACCTCAAGGTTCAAAAAGGAAAGAGGAAGTAATAGGCCCACTGACTGATAAGAGTAAAGTAAGTCTACAAACCTGGCTTTCAATTTTTCTTATTCCTTTTTTAAAGTTTCTTCTAAAAATTAAATTTGTAAGAAAACCTTATTTAATGCATGCTTCATTGTCAAGATCCTAAATCCAAATAAGCATCAAGGAACTGTGGTATATAAAATCAGGTTTAAATTAATTATTATCTAAATACCTAAAAATTACTATGGATACATTGCAGTTTCTGTTTCTTTTTTTCTCTCCTCTCTCTTATTTCTTCCTTTCAGGGGGTATGGGACTGAACCCAGGGCCTTCACACTGAGCTACATCCCTAGCTCTTTTTCTATTTTCAGTTTTGAGACAGATCTTGCCGAATTGCTCATGTTGGACTTGAACCTGTGATCCTTCTATATCAGCAGCCCAGAGTGCTGGGATTGCAGGCATGTGCTATCATGCCCTGCTGGCAGTTTCTTATTAAACTAAAACATACAATTATTAAATGATCCAATGTTTGGACTTGTGAGCATGTATCCTAGAGAAATGGAAATTTATATCCTATAAAACCCTGGAAAACAGGGGTGGGGAGACGGAGAAGATAAAGAGAAGCTGGATTCATCAGTTCACGTATGTAGGTACTGAGATAGCACAATGAATCTCATTAACATGTAAAATTAATACATGTTAACAAAAATCTACTCAAAAATAGGATTTATTTACAATAGCCAAAAAACTGAAAACAACCCAAATGTCTTTTAATAACTAACTGAACTGCCAAAAATGGTTCAAGAAACTCTGGTTTTCTAGTCTAAAAATCCAAGACCTGAAATGCTCCAAAGTCCAAATGCTTTTGAGTACTGATACAAAGTCAGGATGTGGTACAACGTAACAGGTCACCATCAGAACACAGGCACATTAAAAATAGTGTATTGAATTACCCTCAGGCTATGTGTATTATAAGGTATTACAAAACATGCATTATTTTCTGCTTTGGATTTGAGTTCCAGCCCCAAGATATCTCATATATATGGCAAATATTCCAAAATCTGAAAAAAAAAAAAAAAAAAAAAAAAAAAAAATCTAAAGCCTGAAAGACTTTTGGTCCCAACCATTACAGTTAAGGGGATACTCAATCTGTACTTCTATATCATCTAATAATACTTAGCAATTAAAAGAAACTAACTCAACATATACAATAGCTTCAGTGAATTCCCAAGAATTATACTGAATGAAAAAAGACAATCTCAAAACAATTTTGTATTTTGTACTCCTATTTATATAACATTCTTGGAATGGTAACATCAAACTGGAAAACAGATGAGTGGTTGCCAGGGCTTAAAAATGGGGGTGGGGGAAGGAAGCACAGAGTAAGGCAGAAAGTTAATATGATTACAAAATGGCAACCACAGTGCTTGACTGGTTGTGAAAACACAGACATACCCATGAGACAGAAGTACACCGAATGGAACGCACACACAAGAGTACGAGTAAAAGTGGATTGCGTCAATACTCCGGATGTGATATTATACTGAGATGTTACCAATAGAAAACAGGGGATGTGGGTTACTGGATCTTTTTGTATTATTTCTTATAACTACACAGAAATTTGAACTTTAAAAAAATCTATGGGTTTTACTTGCTGTCTACTGCTTTATTAGATCACGATTATAAAGAAAAACAAACATTTATAATGCTATATGTTAAAGATACAGCACTGAACAGGGAGATAAAACTACCTGCCCCATAGAGTGTGAAACAAGAGTGAATAAAGAAGAAAAATAAACATGTTAGCTCATGACTTTTAAAGAGAAAATAAAGCAAGCAGGAGAATAAGGGATGGAGAAGGTTTTTAAAAAATATTTATTTGTCTATTAGAGACAGGGTTTCACTAGGCAGTTAGGGCTGACCTTGAACTCCCTTTGTAGCCTAGGCTGGCCTCAAACTTGCATTGATCCTCCTATCTCAGCCTCCCGAGTACTAGGATTCCAGGTGTATACCATTATACCTGGCCTGGGAGGGTTATTTTTAGGTCATCAAACTCATGACCTAATGCTTGCCAGGCAGACGCTTAAGCCACTGAGCTAAATCTCTGGCCTTGGGAGGGTTATTTTAAATAGGGTAGTTGGAAAGGACCTTGAGCTAAATGGAAGACATTTGAGATCACAAGAAAAAAAGGGAACAAAGCATGCCCGGGAGGAAAGTATAGCAGGCAAAGGGAACAAGAGCAAAAATCTGTGAAAGTCCTAATGCAGGAGTGTGTCTGGTACATTTAAGGCGAGGCAAGAAAGAAAAGGAATCTGCGGCCAAGTGAGCAAGGCAAAGACGAAGATTAAGCCACAGATAACATGTTTCAGATCAGGTAGGACCTTGCAGGCTACTGCCTAAACTTTGGCTTTTATTTGAGCAATACAGGACTCCACTGGAGGTTTTTCTTTTGGTGGTACTGTGCCTGAACCTAGGAATACTCTTATCACTGGGCTATGTTCCTACCCCTTTATTTTGGACTGTCTCACTAGTCTCCATGGCTGGTCACCAAGTCTTGATCTTTCTGGCTCAGCCTCTCAGCCTCTGCATTAGCTGGGATTACAGGTGTGAAGAACCATATCCTGCTCACTGCAAGGTTTTAAGCAGTGGAAAGAAACGTGTGTTATGAGGATTACCTTGACTGCTGGGCTGTGACCAAGGATGGTGGCAGCAAGGGCAAAAAGAGCTGGGATAACAGATAGGAGACTACTGCAAAATCCAGATGAAACAGTTATGTGTATTCCTCCTGCAGGGCCTGTTGGGCGAGTCCTATATTCTTCCTAAGCTGAATAGCCTAGGATTATTGACTGTAAGCCAATTTTTAGCTTCTATTGTTACTACGGCTTTAGGTCGTTACAAGGCACCAGATCTACTGGGCTAGTGTGTACCTCTGCTGGGAACTTACTGCATCACTGGGTGTCTCGTAGGGCCTTTTGATTACCTCTAGGTTGGGGTGGCCTTGCTGGCACTCTCCTCAACCCAGCTGATGTTCTCTGTGTGGAGGAAGGGCTCACCTACACCCTTGTCAGACTCACTAAGGTCCTACAGCTGGGGAGTTCACTGCTGTTCCTGTTTACCCGCTAAGGTCCTTTATTTGAGGGGGAAAACTCACTATATAGATAGCTACACTACTAATCTCTCTTGGTTCATCAAAAAGAACAGTTTGCACTGTCATTGATTGATCATCTTTGTATCTAGATTTGGTAAACTCAACAACTAGTTCTGAGATAACAATGTACAATATATTAACTAGTGTTAATAACTATTAACTAGTGTTAATTTCCTAATTTTTTTTAAAATTCTGTATCATTTCTATCCTTTTTTTCTGTTTTGCTTAAAAAAAAAAAAAAAAAAAAGTTATGTGTATCAGGGGAATGACCTGAATGGATGTCATTATATTGCTACAATAAGACCCTGACAGATCTGTGAAAAGTTAAATTTGTATTGTAATTAAAACCCTTATAAAATGTTACTCTTTGTTTTGTTACTCTGGACAAAGCTAGGGCTTTAACTATACAAACCTTATCTTGTGATCCAGAGGACGTCTCTTCTAGAGTTTCAGTGCTTCCTAGATTGAAAAGCTGAGTGCTTGGCTGTAACCCAGGGCTGGAGATATTTGAGTCGCCCATCTGAGCCTTAAAAACAGAAATAAGAGACAGTATATTATGTAGAAAAAACTGCTATTACTTGGCTCACAAAACAGCATTTGAGGTTATTAGAAATGCTATGGTAAAAAAACAAGCAAAAATCCTACAAAACTTTGCTCTGAATTCCCATGTAAATAATTTAATGATAAAATTACTATAAAGCTGAGTACCTAACTTTAGACAATTATTTTTTTACAGCTTTTTAAAGGAAAAGTCAATGGTATTACTCTACTATGTGTTCTCTTGTATGTTTTAAGTCAACATATGATAAAATTAAATTAAAAGTGCTGTATCATTCTATTTGTGCACCATCTCCACAGTCAGGAACAGTTCTGTCATCTCAAAAAGCTCCCGGTGATATCTCATTGTAGTTAGGTTCTCTGCCTACTTCTGGCAACTAGCGTTCTGTTGCTATATTTTGCTTTTTTGAAAAGTATATAAATGGAATACAAGCAGAATGCTAGCTTCTTTCACATAGCCTAATGTCTCTGAGATTTGTCCAACTAATGAATGGTATTAATGGTTAAATCTTTTTTGTTGGTATTTCTGCCTGATACATATAGTTTTTTTCTGAAAGTTTTACATTTAGAAAATATTTTACATTTAGATCTGTGCTACAGTTTGAGTTGATTTTTATGTAAGATGTTACACTTAGGTTCAGGTTTATTTTTGTGTTTGTATTTTAACATTCAACTGTTTGAACATCATTAAGTTCTAACTTGCGTGATACTAAAAATGAAAATATTCCTTTTTTTTTTTTTTTTTTATCGGTACCAGGGATGGAACTCACGACTGCCTGCTTGCAAGGCAGGCGCTTATGCCGCTGAGCTAAATCCCCAGCCCCTAATGAAAATATTCTTATTTTTAAAATGATTACCAGACAGACATGGACAACAGGAGTGGTGGCACACACCTGCGATTCCAGTACTCCAGAGGGTAAAGCAGGAGGATCACTACAAGAGATCAAGCCAGCCTGAACTATATAGTGAGACTGTCTTGAAAAAGCCAAAACGGGAAAAAGACATGGAGTTACAAATTTTTGGAAACTTCACTTATATCTGAGCTATGATTCAGTATCTGGTGAGTACCATCCATGTCAAAACAGATGACTGTAGGGAAAAAGAAAAAATAAAAGCAGCTCTTAACTTCAGACACAGACTAAAGATACACATAAGAAGATACATGTTTAGCATAGGAATAGGCACTCAATTGTTAAATGAATGGATAATATACATTTCTTCTACTCAGATGACTTAATTATCCATTTGAGTAAGGGTGAAACAGTCTGTGAAAGCCTATGAATGACTCTAATCTTCTAACATGTGCCTGGCTTGGTGGCTCACGCCTGTAATCCCAGCACTTGGGAGGCTGAGGTGGGAGGATTGTTGTGAGTTCGAGACCAGCCTGGGCTACAAAGTGAGCTCATGGCCAGCCTAAGCCGCATAGCGAGACCCTGTCTCAAAAAAGAAAAAAAAAAAAAAAAAAAATCTTCTAACGTGACTATTTTTTTTTTTTTTTTTTTGGTACTGGGGATCTAACTCATGACCTCACACATGGCTAGGCAGGTGCTTGTGCTAGCATCATGACTACCAGTAACAAATGTATCAGAGAATGTTTAGAACTGAATGTTTAGAAATTTCCTCATTCTTAGCATAGTGGTTAAAAAAAAAAAAAAAGAAAAGAAAGAAATTTCCTCATAAGGTCAATATTAAATCTGACCACTGAATTTGATTCAGTTCTCATCCATTTTTGTTTGCAACCAGAATTGTGGAAAAAGTTAAGTTCATGAACTGAATACTACTGTATATTACAGAAAATATAAACTCAAAATATTATTCATAACAAGTTCTTATTTTTCAAAAATTACAGTATTTTTTTGGTGTGATATACTTGAAGTTGAACTTAGGGCCTTATGGATGATATGCAAGAGCTCTAGCACAGTTAAGCCCCAACCCATGTAACAAGCTCTTAAAACAAAAGGTATAACGCTGCTCAGAAATATTAAACCCACTATAAAACTCAGACTTGTCATTTCTAGAGGGGGCCTGGATGATCTGGCAACATCAGGTCATCTGGAGACCACTGTTTGGGGCTGAGCTCTAGCTGACCCTCTCACAAAGGAACCAGGCTCTCAGTCCACCTCAATTCCACCTTGGCCTGTTTTATACACTACCGCGGCCTTCCTGGCTCTTCAGGCATTTGAGTCTGCCTGAAGATGGGCTTACATTGTTATGATGTGTTTCAATAAATGTTCTTAAGAATTTTATCTATTTTTGATTCTTGTGTAAGGCCTCTGTTGAAGTTTTGTTTCATGTCTTGATGACATTCAGCATTTGTAACACTTAGGAGAAATATACAACCTCAGAAAAACTTGTTGGAGGGTAATTTTACAATACTTGGTAAAAATTTTTTAAAAAATTTCAAAATTCTTTGATCCAATGAATTCATTTCAAGCAGTTTATTTTAGGAAAAAGTTAATGGTGCATACAAAGACCCAGCTCCTATGCTGTATTGCTAAGTTCTTAATGGAAGGAATCAGAGAAATCTAGGGTACTGTTTGTATAAAGTACAGAATGAAAAATATACAGATATTAACATCACAGTTCTTTTTAAAAAAACTTTTCACACTACCTAATGAAGTCTCACGTGACTCTGAGATGAACAGTTACTGTCAATAAAAAGGCCAAGTGCAGACAAGAAAATAAGAAAGCTATGCCTAGCAGGGATGAGGCAGCAGGAGCCCTGTGAGTTTGAGGTCAGCCTGAGCCAACACAGTACATTCAAAGCTGGCCTTATCTCAAAAACCACCCTCTCAAAAATCCCTAAAATAAAAGCTACATCTTGGGTACATGTACTTACTTCCCACAATGAATGTAACATTACGTACTGCAAATATGTATTATATTAATAAAAACAAGAAAGCTATACCTCCTTATAGAGTTTTTAGAATAGCCTATATTATAAAGCAAATGTCAAAGATGAAATCCTCAGCCTGGTGTGGTGGTGCATGCCTGTAATCCCATCATTTGGAAGGCTGAGGCATGAGGATCATTATGAATTGAGGACCAGCCTGGGCTACAAAGTGAGCTCAAGGCCAGTCCAAAGCACACAGTGAGACTCTGTCTCAAAAAAAAAAAAAAAAAAAAAAAAAAAAGATTAAATTCTCAAAGGTTCCAGTTCAATCTAACCTTAGATAATGATTTATTTCATACTGTGGAGGAATTTTTTCTTTTTAAGAATTTTCTTGGGCCAGGGATTTGACCTGCCTGTCAAGTGCAAGATCATGAGTTTGCTCCCTGGTACCAAAAAAAAAAAAAAAAAAAAAAAAAAAAAAAAAATTCTTTACCACAGAAATGATTATGCTCTATTTAATCCTTTGATGATATAACTAGAACTTATACTAGACTTTTAGACAGTACACTTAATGCCACAGTTCCTGTAAAGCTTTGTGTACAAAAAGTAGGGCCATGGGGCTGAGTGTAGCTCAGTAGTAGAGCATATGCTCAGGATGTATAAGGCCCTGAGTTTCACTCCAGCATTAAAAACAAAATACCAAACAAAACAGGCCAAGAATAAGGCCTGCTTGCTTCTTTCTTTTGCGACTGGGGAATAAGCCAGACTGTTTTGGGTATCTCCCCTACTGTCCGGCACCCATAGATTCTGTATTACGGGGAACCTTGATGCAGTCATTGCCAGGGGCAGTGAACAGCGAAAGGCTTCAAGAAGTAAAACAATGACCCAGACTTTACTAAGGATAGGAGAAGGGGTTTGGAGACTCTTTTTTGGAGTGCTGGGGATCAAACCCAGAACCTCAAGCATCTTAGGCAGGTGCTCCACTAGCGAACTACATTCCCAACCTTTAAGGCAATCTTTACTTATTTATCTATTTATTTACTTGGTACGCATACCAAACTCACGACCTCATGCTTGTCAGGCAGGTACCTACTCCACTGAGCTAAATTCCCAGCCCCCAATCTTTATTTTTAATTTTTTTTGGTACTGGTGATCGAACTCACGGCTTTGTATTTGTGAGGCAGGCACTTGTGTCACTGAGCTATATCTGTGGCCCTAAGGCAACCTTTAAATCTAAAATATGACTCTTGAAAGTTATCCTCACATCCTATGAATCAATAAATTTATAATGGAGATCACTGCTTTTCCACTATTTTCCATAGACTTTATATATAGTTCATTATAGGGGCTGGGATTTAGCTCAGCGGCATAAGCACCTGCCTTGCAAGTAGGCGGTCGTGAGTTCGATCCCCTGTACCAATTAAAAAAAAAAAAAACAAAAAAAAAAACACCCCCCCCCACACAAAAACCAAATATAGTTCATTATAACTTATGGTGAGTATAGCTATTTTTAGAGGAAACTACTTTCCAGAACATTTTTTTTCACTTTGTTGTCTTAATTCCAAGATTCTTGAGACATTAACAGTGCAGCAGGTACAAAATAGTTCTATAGTGAAACTGATCTGAGAATTAACAGTATTGCCTATTCTACTGTAGGACCTTTAAGTTCTGAGACTCATAAAACTCTAAGGGGATGTGAGGAGAAGACATGTTAACAATATTTCTTAGACTCGTCTGACCAATTTGAACCTTTTTTCAAAGATCATTTATTAATAACCCAGAAGCCAGTGTTTTAGCAGAATTGTTTGGGAAACATGTCTTAAAATAGTGGTTTCTCACATTGCTTATTAAAGTTTTAGTGAGGTGAAGACAAATAGAAATGAAAAGAAAGCACTTCTCAATTTTTAGTGAAAAACTAACAACTGTAATTCTGCTGTAATAAAATGCAGTACTAGAATTTTCAGGTTTCACTCCAGGGAAACATGAGGCTTTGTGGTACTGATGCCAAGGAAAAGCCAAGACAGTTTCACAGCTAGAAGGTTTGAGACACAGTCAGAGAATGTCTACTGTGTTGTATATAGTGCGCATTTCATATCTGTGTTGAAAGATTTAATTAATGTCCTACCACTGCCATTTTACTCAATTTGTAAGGGCAAATTCTATCCATTAAAAGGTACAATGCATTTTAATGCCTAGATCTTGTAAACTGAACAACTATTTTTAAGATAACAATATGCAATATATCAACCAGTGTTGATTTCTGTTTTTTCTGAAATTCTGTATTATTTGTTTTGTTTTTTTAAAATAAAAAAGAAAAAAGTTAAAAAAGAAAAAGGTAAAATGCAAAGCAGAAGAGATGAAACAATCTCAAAAGAGCTTCACATTTGGGCAAAATTAAAACTATGCCTAGTGAAGGGTCCTTACTCACTATCAATTACTGCCTATGTACATTTGTATCATGAGATGCAAATTATCAGAATACTTTTCAAAACCTACTTAAATCCTCAAGACCATTTAACATCCTAACAGATAGCAGAAGGAAGAAGGGGTATGAAGCTTTTCTAGAACTATCTGTTGTGGTTCAACTTCTACCCTCTGACCCCAATTTCTTCCAAAATAATGTTCTTTGATTACAGGAATTTAAAAAAATTTGAAAAATTTCTGTCCAAACAAGCATCTTTGAGGCTTGCAGTTACAAACACGCTTAGTTTTGAACCAATTATTGCCAGCTGCCGAGGTGACAGTCTCAGTTGGACTCATTAGCTTTTTGCAGGCCTCCTACTGGTATCCAGTACTCAAGACGGTCTTACCCTCTCGTACTCATCCTTGGCTCTACTCAGCATTTCCAGGATGTCAATAGGCCTATGGTCACTGCAGCCATTGGCCTGGCTGGGACTCTGTTTATCTCGAGCAGCTTGCTGGGATCGCCGTGTCTCCTCTTCTACCACACTAGAGGAGGAAAACCAGGGTTAAGAAAGGCTTCTTCTGACAGTCTAATCCAAGAACCTTTATGGAGTCCAGGGACACACAAGGGTTTGAAATGATGATACTGCCTTTGCAAATAGTAACATTGGTCCCAGTAACTGCACTGAAACACAACTTACAGTCTTACCATCTCATTCACAGTATCACCAACCAGTATGTTTTACCTTCCTTTCTAGTGGTGGTGGAAGTAGGCACAATAAAAACTCTGCTAAATATCTCCTACAGGTAGCTCACAGTCAAACAAAGACCTCCCTTTTTTCTTTAAGAATCACTAAGTAGGTAACTGAGCTCAGGGTGTTTATGGGAATGCACTTTATTTCACTTTTCTTCAGACAGGGTCTTCCTATGTAGTTCAGACTGGTCTTGAACTCATAAGCCTACGCTGGCCTCACACTCTCAGGTTCCTGAGTACTGGGATTAGAGGTGTGCACCAGGATGCCCGAGGATGCACTCTATTTTGACTGGTATTAGCTTATGCCAGTTCTTCACTTGAAAATCCATAAAGCAAGGAAATTTCAGTTTAAGAATGCCACTGATGAGCCAGGCGTGGTGGCTCATGCCTGTAATCCCAGCACTCGGGAGGCTAAGGTAAGAGGATTGTTGCGAGTTTGAGACCAACCTGAACTACAAAGTGAGCTCAAGGCCAGCTTGAACTGCATAGCGAGACCCTGTCTCAAAAAAGACCAAAAAAAAAAAAAAAAAAAAAAAAAAAAAGAATGCCACTGATAGGGCTGGGGTTTTCAAATCATTTTTTTTTTTTTGGGACTATTAGAGACTGAACCCAGGAGTACTGAGTTATATTCCTAGCTCTTCTCATTTTTTAAAATAGGGTCTGGGTAAACTGTATAGGCTAGCTTGGAACTTGTAAGCCTCATGCCTCAGCCTCCAAGGTGCCTAAATTACAGGGATACATCACAGTACTAAGTGTGTATTAAGGTTGATACACTGCGTAACTTGGCAAGTTTAGAAGTTTAACTAAGAGACTCAGCAGGGAGCCAGGGTTCTTACTGCTGCTGCCTTGAAGTGTTGTCCTGGTGCCATGCCACCCTGCTTTGGAGCCAGCTGATTATGGACCTTAAACCTCCACAAACAGTGAACTAAATAAACATTTCCTTCCTTCATTTTAGGTGTTGGGTATTTTGTCCAAACAATGAGAGAAAATTAACCAAGACAGTAGGCTTTCATTTCCAAACAACTTCTCTATTGCCTAAGTAGAGAGGTTTGAAGAAATCATAGCAAAATGTCAGCAACTAAAAGGTGGGTAGAAAGCAGGTGGGTATTTTATTTCCTATATTTTTCTTCAAGCCTGAAGTAAGCAAAATAGTAAGTTTTAATAAAGCAACTAATCTTTAAAAGAAGTGTATTCAGATGTTAGTTCTAAATGTAATAAATATGTTCACCTATCATAGAATTTTTATGGACATAGCCACAGCTTGTTTTTATTTTATGAGACATGGTTTCACTAAGTTGCTCAGGTTGGGTTTGAACTTGTGATCCTCCTGCCTCAGCCTTTCAGAGTGCTGCGTTTATAGGCGTGTTCCACAAGTCTAGCTCAGCTTCAAGCTATAATTAATTGAGAACCTGATGGACAATGATGAAAAGGGAATTCAAAAGTGAAAGGTCTGTTTTTATGGAATAAGAGTTACTCAATGTTCATTCCCATTTAGAGAGAGAGAGAGAGAGAGAGAGAGAGTGTGTGTGTGTGTGTGTGTGCGTGTGCGGCAGCAATGATGTTACACAAACAGTGGGTTAAATAATATTAAACAAGGCTGGATGTGATGGTGCCCACCTGTAATCCCTGCACTTCAGAGGCTGAGGTAGAAGGATCACTGTGAGTTGGAAGCCAGCCTAGGCTACATAGTGAGATCTTACCTTAAAAAAGAAAAAAACAAAAACTCCCCAAACAAAAATGTGTTTAAAATTTTTTTAAAATAGCAGAACCAGTGGGACACGGTAGAGTATACCTGTAATCCCAGCACTTAGTAGGTTGAGGCAGGAAGATTGTTGTGAGTTTAAGGCCAGCTTGTACTATATAATGAGACTCACTCAAAAATCAAAACAAAAAATCAAAAGCAAAAAACAAAAACCAAAATAGAACCATTCTGAGCTAACATGTTAAAGTGTGATTTCCAACAAGAGTGGGCTTGCATATTTTCTCAGAAATTTCATTTGACTACAGAATTTTTGTTGTTTTCTGGTAATGCACAGTTTACTTAAAGCAGTAGGGGTGAGCCTAAGGCACAAACGCTAGTTTAAGACATAAAAGATGTCTTAAATACAGCATATACCTAGAGGTTCATTCACTTTTCTACTTAGTGTCTCAGCATCCATTAACACCTTTTGGTAAAAAAGTAAAATCAGTTCTTTTACTTGGGAGAATTTATAATACTGTATATTGTGGTTGTCAAAACAGTTAGAAGTATTTAATATAATGGGTACTTGACAGACATGTTTTATTTATTGAGGCACTGTGTAATCAAACCCAGGGTCTCTTATAGGCTAAGCAAGCATTCTAGCATTAAGCCACATCCCCAGTATAGATATACTTGTTTAGATGTACATATGTCAAAAAATTTTCCAGTATTTCTGGTTAGTAGAAGTTACATTCTAAATTATACACAGGCATATATAAAAAGATTTAGAGAATAAAAAGTATTCTTTATCTCTAGTGCTCAGAAGGTCATGTATCCCAAAACTGGCAACATTTATAAAGGATTCTCTTCATCTATAAATAGGCCAGACACTTAAAAGCTATCAACAGGGTACTTCGTAATCACTTCCTCTGCTTCTAGTTAAACAAGCTGCAAATGTAAACAAATGTCCCTCTTTTGGCTATTTCTAGGAATAGAACATACTGTTTCTACTTCTTTGCCTCATTTAGGATTCAATACAATAATTTTCAGGTAAGCTTGAGTTGTCAGCATTACACCTTGAAGTCTTGCAATCAGTTTACTGCTTGTCCTGAGAAAGAAAAAAGTTCAAAATGATTCCCTCTCCATAGTTGTTAGGGCTCAAAAAGCCAGATTCTCTTACTCAAGAGCTCAGATGATAGCAGGAAAAATGTGAATATATTAATATGCTCTCAAGTTTAGAGACTTAAGCATATTTCTTCTATATAATCAGAAAAATAAGTGGCCTTCACTGTCATTTTCACTCTTTTTTTTGGGTCTTTTTCTTTTTTACTGGTACCAGGGATCGAACTCACGACTGCCTGCTTGCAAAGCAGGCGCTTATGCCGCTGAGCTAAATCCCCAGCCCATTTTCAAAACCAAACACAACAAAATGATCCAGGTCTGGGGGTGTAGTTCCGTGGTACAGAACATCTGAGAGGGGTTGGCATCCTACCACATCCAGCTCTGTATCTCTACCCTTTATACATCAGAAGCCTTTGTTAGTTTTGTTTTTTAGAGATAAAGCTATAAAAAACAAAGTGTAGGTCTAGAACGACTTTTCTAATAAGCATGACTGCACGTTACCAGTGAGCAATGACTTCCAGGATGCGCCTACTAACAAACACCCATCTGTCCTCCAAGTTCACGACCAGAAAGAACTACAGAGGAGGAGCGTGACAAACATATATCTGGTCAAGATGTGACAATGGTCCCGGATTAGAGTTTGGCATTAGTCATATGTGTCATTATTTTTTCAACTTGGTATGTACCTTTTCAAAAAATGTAAATATTGGTACAGGCCCCTAGTCCCAACTGACTGGGAGGCTGGGGAAGGAGCCATCAAAGTTCAAGGCCAATCACGACAACTCAGCAAGATCCTGTCTCATATTACAGGGATGTACAAATGTGGTCCTCAAGCACATAGGCCCAGTTTCCTTGGGTGGCACTGAGTGGAGAGGAATTATCTCAGAACACATGAAAAAGGTGACCAAAATATACAGTGAATGCTTAAAGATACACTTCCTTCAAATAGCCCTCTTGTTTTGAACACACTTATCTTTCTTGCCATTTTGAAGCAGCTGTGGAGGTCCTCTTCTGTGTCTTTATGATATGTGTAAAACAATATGTGAATGCTGCTGCCAAGTGCCATCCAATGGAAAGTCAGGCCCATAATAACATTACAATGGTCCTTGTCCACCTTATTCACCAGATAGGGCATCGTGCAACTTCTAGCTCTTCCTTAGAGTCAAAATGACCATGAGAGGTAAAGGTTTGGAATTAATTCCGGATATGGAGGCAGCCAAGACAGTACAGGCAAGAGGATGTCTAGAACTGCTTCAGAAAAATGGCAAAAATAATGGGATAAGTGTGTTTAAAATGAGGGTGAAATTTTTGAGAGGGGTTAATGAAAATGTGTCTTTTAGTATAATAAAGCTTTAAAAAATGTACACATTTCACCATATTTTTGAATACCTTGTTTTATATATGCATAAATATGTAACAAAATCTCTATTAAAATATTTTTTATTAAGTTGGGAACACCTGTCATGTCAGTATTTAGGAGGCGGAGGTAGGAGAATCTCTGTGAGTCTAAGACCAGCCTGGGCTACATGGTGAGTTTAAATCTAGTCTGAACTACAAAGCAAGACTTTGTCTCAAAAAACCAAAAACAAAAAGCAAAACAAAACCAACTAACCAACAAAGAAAAAAGCTGAGGTGGTAGTGCACACCTGTAATCCTAGCACTTAGGAGGCTGAGGCAGGAAGGTCTCTGAGTTCAAGGCCAACCTGAACTACGTAGGAAGACCCTGCCTCAAAACACATGAAAAAATCTCTTTTTAGTATAACATAGGGGTCTCCAACTCCAAAGGGCTGAGAATATAATTCACTGCTCCCTGAATTCAATCTCCAGCACCAAAAATACCTAGAATTGAGGTTTTAGTGTCAATTATCTATACTTTTAAGAGAACTCATTAAAAATTAGATTGTTAAAAACTTAAGACTCTTGGATTTCATGCAGCTCAGAAAAAAACCCAAAAAAACAAAAAAAACTTAAGACTACTTTCTTCCATACATGTAGACACAAACTGTTACGGTTTATATCTACATGTTCCCCCAATGGCTCGTATGCTCATAGTGGGGCTTTTCAGAGGTTGCTGGATCTAGGGCAGTTGATTGCTGACCTTTTAGAGACAGGGTACCCAAACTCCAAATCAAAACCCACTTACTTGTTGCAAAGTGCCAACACTGCAATTAAATCTGAATACTGAAGTTTTAGATTAGAAAAAACTCACAATGAACAATTTTTGTCTTGTAAGAGAAACAGATAATGTGAGTGCCATAGGTTCGCCACCACTGATTAAGATGTATTAGTATTGGTTAAGGATATGTGATAGCTACAATTAGTACACTAACTGGTTTATCACGGTTCTGGGCATGGGTAATGAGAAGGTCTACCTTGGGTGTGGGGGCACCAACCAATGGGCTTGTAGCTGGAATGGAATAAAAGGGGAAGGGAGACAGGCTGCTGCTGCTGCTGTCCTACTTCTTCCTGCCTGCAACGCCACAAATGGACTCTGCTCTGCAGAGCTCCTCTGCCATGCTGTCCTTCCTTGAAACCAGCCAACTATGGATTGAACCTTCGGAAAACTGTGAACCAAAATAAATCTTTCCTCCTTTCACTTGGTGTCAGGTATTTTGTCCCAGCAACAAGAAAAGTAACTGAGACACAAACTTCATAAAAGAGGAAGAGAATTTTGATTTGGCAGAGTGGGAAGAGAGGGCTAGATTTTTAAGATTTAAGTAAAACTAAAGAAAAAAATACTGCCTGTTGCAGTATTTTCCTCGACCTCTGTATGCTCTTGGGCCCCTCCAAAACCAGTGTTTCAAGCTCCCAGAATCTAGGCTGGCAATCGAGCAATATGACTAGACCACAGGAGGCGTGGTTTTATGGGCTGGCTTGAGAAAGGATGAGGTATCCTTCAGAACATAAATTCAATGAAAGTCATTTTCCAAGTTTCTAGATTCTGTTACAAAAATGCTTCTGGATGATAATCCATTAGTGGGTTGAAGCCTGATAAATCTTGCCTGAGTCAGTAAGTTCACTGACAGTAAGTAATTCATTACAAACATGTGCTAGAATGTTCTACAGGGTACTGAATACAGTATCACTTATTACAGTGGGAATTTCGGTAGCCACTACATATGGTAGTCAGGCTGTGTTCTGGGTGTAACTGACAGTCTCTGGAGCCGGACAGTTTGCCAGGCCTGACCCAGAGTAGGCTGTGGTAAAGTTACGGACTACCCTTAGGGTTAGCTATAATGCAGTTATTATAAATGCTACCAAGGAAAATTTAATGCCCTAAAAAACTGATGTTGACAGCAAAAGCAGGATATACAGCATTACCATGACTATAATCCTAAGGTACATATACAGAGAAGACTGGAAAAAGTTACATGAAAATATTAAAAGTAGCAAATTACACACAGTTTTAGATTTAAGTTTTTCTGCTTCCTTCAAATTTTTGGCAATAAAAAGAAAATCAGGAAGGCAGTGAGAAGTCATTTTCCATTTCTCATATCTCACTAATTAAATCTATAGAGTAATAAAAATACTTACTCTGCCATGAGTTTTGCTATGCGGTGACAGTCGTTCTTGTCATAAAACCAGATACTGTATATTGATACTTGAAAAACAAAGGAAAAAGAAAAGATGAAGGGAAATGAGGTTTCAACATTTATGTACAATGGACCCTTGAGTTATGACCGACCTGCCATACAAACAACTTGAGTTAGGACTACTATTTTGGTTTTAACTTACAACCAGTGTGGAGTTACAACCTGAATACTGGCGCTTGTGCTTCCCAGATGGTCTCAGATACAGATTTAACCTTTAAGGAGTTCTGGAAGCAATACTGCATCCTTTCCTGTGGAGGTTAACTGAGAAATCCTGGGCCAATGCTTCTTTAAGAACACTGAGGCCTGTCTGTAGACAGGATAGACTTTGAAGACTGTACAGGAGGAGCCTGGGCCTTCAACTGGCAGTCTGAGTTACAACCAGTCCTTGGGAACGAACTGAGTTCATAAATCAAGGGTTCACTGTATATGTAAATAATATATCACCACAAAATATCATTGAATTTACCATTAAACCCTTAAATTATTAATACTCCCTTTAAAGGGGCAGGTAGGGGGAACACTTCTTCAAATCTCTGTTTAATAAAACCAGGACAAATGAAATATTTAAATAAAAACTGAAAAAAATGGTTTTAGACATATCTACTGGATCTCACTGAACCTAGGATAGAAATAAATATAAGATGCATCATTATTTGTTTTGTCAAGAAAAAAACAGACTTAGACTTTATCAATATCAATTAAGAGACACATTACATTTAAATTAAAATGTGAGGAGTCGTAACTACTGAAAATCAAGGTCATTGGCTAATCAAAGGTCAGAAACTGTCTCCTGAAGCTTCTAATATAGAATAAAAATTACAGTGAAAAGGGTTTGAATAGCTCCATATCCAACTTTAAATCAATTATTCACACATGATATGGATTAAAATTATAATCATACTTTTTAAAATTTTGAGACAAGGTCTTGCTAAGTTGCCCAGGCAGTGCTCAAATTTGCAATCCTGCTTCCTCAGCCTCCCAGAGTGCTGGGCTTACAAGTATGTGCCACATCTGGCTTCATTATGCTTTTTTTGGTACTGGGGATCGAACTTATGACCTCATGCTTGCCAGGCAGGTGCTTACACAGCTGAGCTAAATCCCTGGCCCATTTTTTTCCCTAAGTAAACTTACTTTGAAATAACTGTAACATTTTATGAAACTGTCCTATCATATTACAGCCAGGATAACGACAAAGATTAGTCAAGACGCAGAAGAATCTCCATGATCACAAAGATCTCTGGTGTTTTACAGCCCTATTCACTTTCCTGGGTCCCCTTCCCTCATACTGACCTGGCAAACACTATTCTTTACTTTCATGTCATTTTGTGAGTGTTGTGAAAGTGGCATCATTCAAATAGCATGCAGCTTCACGAGATCAATTATTCTAACAGTGTATAGTCCCCAAAGTCATCTAGCACACTGCTTGCATCAACAGCTGCCCCAATTCCCAATAGTGTCCCATGGCATAGATGCACCACTGTGTTTTAGCTACTCCGTGCATCTAAAGACTCTGGGGTGTTTCTGGGTTTTGACTATTATGAATAATGCTACTACCAATATCTGTAATAAGCTTTTATTTCTATGGATTAAATGCCAAAGAGTAAGTAGCCTCATGTTAAGTTTAGTCAAAAACTACGTTTTTCCAGTGCCCGCGCCACTTTACATTTCTATAAGAACTGCATGAGTGATGTAGTTTCTCCAAATTACTGCATTTGATGTTGCTGCTAATTTTAATTTTTGCTATTCTGAAAGGTATATAGTGATTTCTCACTGTGGCTTGAACTCACATTCCCTAAAAACTAATGATGTTGAACACCTTTTCATGTGCTTCTTTGACATTTTATGTCCTGTGTTTGAAATATCTTTTCATGTCTTACGCCCTAATTAAATTTTTTTGTGTTTAATTTTGAGAGCTTGTATAATTTAAGACACCAGACTTTTGCTGGAAATATGGCTTGAAAACATAACTGTTACATTTCTATCCTCTTGATAAGGTCTTCTCAAAGCAAGTTTTGACAAGGTCTAACAAGTTGATTTTTCTTTTCATTGATCATGATTTAATCTAGTGTGAAATCTAAGAACTCTTTTAGATCTACTTCTAAAATTCTCTATTTTTCTCTAAAGAGTTCATAGTTTTACATGTAAGTTGTAGATTTAGTCTATGTTAATTTTTGTTTAAAGCATGCAGTTTTCTTTTGGCCTAATATACCAGTGTTATTGTTAGAAATGACATCATCCCTCTATTAAGAAATCTTTTATGTCTTTGTTAAATATTAGTTGGACATAATTGTGTAGGTCTGTTTTTTTTTTTGTACCAGGGAGCAAACTCATGACCTAGCGTTTGCCAGGCAGGTACTGATGCCACTGAGCTAAATCCCCAGCCCATTTCTGTATTCTTTATTCAGTCCCATTAATTTATGTGCTTATCCTTCTAGTGGTACCACACTGTCTCAATTACTATAGTTATACAGTAGGTCTTAATACTGGGTTGAATATTTTCTTTTCTTGGTACAGGGATCAAACCCATGACCTTGTGCTTGTGCCACAGAGCTAAACCTCTGGCCCATGGGTAGAATATATTCTTATACCTTTTGTTTTAAGATTGTTTTACCTTTTAGGACCTGTACTTTTCCATGTAAATTTCAGAACCTGCCCATGCCTCCCAAAAACTTTGCTTGGGTTTTAACAAGAAATGTTTTAAATTGGTAAGTCAATTTGAGGAGAATTAATATTTTTACTATGTTTAGTCCTTAAAAACAAAGGCAATGTATCTCTCCATTTATTTATCTTCTTCAATTTCTTTCATCAGTATTTTATGACTTTTAGCACACAGATTTTGTACAAGTGGAGTAATTTACTTTGGAGTGACTGTAACAGGCAATGTTTTAAAATTTTGCTTTCCACATCGTTTGTATGTAGACATGCAATTGATTTTTGTGTGTTGCTCTCATTATCTTGAGACCTTACCAAACTCATTTATTAGCTCTTGGAATTTGTACAAAAACATTCATGTCACCTAAATAGGGGCAGCTGTATTTCTTCTCTGCCAGTCTGTAGCTACTTTCTTTTTCTTGACTCATTGCGGTGCCTGGAATTCCAGTGAGACACTGAATAGCAGTCGTGAGAATAGGTGCCCTTGCCTTATTATTGTTTCAAAGGGAAGGTTAGTCTTTCTCCATAAGTAGTATCAGCTGTAAACTGTTGTAGCTGTTCTTTACTAAGGTGAGACTGTTCGATTCTATGATTAACTTGATAGTTCTTACTATAAACAGGCCTTGGATTCTGTCAAATGACTATTTCTGTGTGTCAAAATATGATCACATGATGTTTACTTTTCCTTAGCTTGCTGATCCAACTATTCCACTTGTAGGTATATTCTCAAAAGAGTTAAAGACATTACAGTGATACACACACACACACACACACACACACATTCATAGCAGTATAATTCATAAAAGCTAAATCCTCAAAAAGTCAGTATTACACTTAACACAATGGATTCAAATGTTTCAGTAGCACATATATACTAATGGACTCTGATACATCCATTTCCCTACAAATATCTCAAGTTTATCTTTGTGGGAGAGTAGTATTCATTGAGTGTAAATATCACATTTTCTTGGTCCATTCATCTGATGATGGATATACACGCTGCTTTCAAGATTTAGCTGCTATGAATAGTACTACTATGAACATGGGTATGCATATATCATGGTAATATGTCTAACTCTTTAAGGAGAGGGGTAGCTGGGTCAAACAGAATTTCTGGTTTTAGTATTTTGAAGAATCTCTCTACTGATTCTATAATGGGTATACTAGTTTACATTCCCACTAACAATTAAAAGGCTTCGTTTTCCTTTGCAGTCTTGTCAGCATTGCTACTGTCTGATTTTTTTTGATGATGGTCATTTTGGTGGGGAGTGAGACGGATTCTCAGTGTTTTAATTTGCATTTCTGTAATGGCCAGTTATGTTCAGCATTTCGTCATGTTTTGATTAGCCATCTGTACTTTATTGTTTTGTGAAGTAACCACAGATTTTTTTATGTTGAACAATTTTATTTGTTAATACTCGGTGGAGGAATTCTACACTTCTAAGTTCATAAAAGATACTTATTTGTAGGGATTTTTTTTGAAATGTACTTAACACTGAAGTTAGGGTCTCAAATCTACTATTCAAGTTTTCTAACAGAGCTATACTTTCAGCTTTTTTTAGTTTTCAATCAGGAATTGAACTCATGATCTTGCGTTTGCAAGACAGCTGCTATGCCACTGAGCTATATCCCTAGCCTACCATCAGCTTTTCTCAAAAAAATTTTTTTAAAGACAGGTTCTTGCTGAGCTGACCTTAAACATATGGCAGTCTTTCTGCCTCAGCCTTCCTAGTGCCGTAATTACAGGCACATACCACACTACACCTGGCCTTAAATCTTGAGATAGGGACCACTAAATTGCCCAGGTTGGCCTTAGGCTTGTAATTCTCCAACCTCAATTTCTTAAGTGACTAGGATTACTGGCGGGCACCAACATGTATGGCTGTATTTTCTTTTTTGTTATTGTCTTTGCCTTATAAAATACTTGAGTTGGGCGTGTTAGTGCACACCTGTAGTCCCAGGACTCTAAGAGGTTGAAACAGGACTGCCAAATTGAAACCTAGATTGGGCAACTCAAATTTAGAAACTGCTCAAAACAGAAACAGAAATAAAAACAAAAGAGAAAACGGGGCTAGGAGTGTAGCTCAAAGGGAAGCTAGGTTCAATCCCCAGTGTTGCAAAAACAAAGCAAAACAAAACAAAACAAAAAAACAGGAAGAAAAGCAAACAATTGAGAAGTGTTCCTTTTTCTACTTTTGGAAGGAACTAAAATTAGGGTTAATTCTTTTGAATTCTCCTGTAAAACCACCTGAACTTGGAGATTTCTTTCTCCGAAACTCATTAAGTTACAAATTCAATATATTTAATATTTGTAGCACTGTTTGTATTATTTATTTTATTTTGGCTGAGCTCTACA